CAAAAATTAGCCAGGCGCGGTGGTACGTGCCTATAGTCCCAGCTACTTGGGAGGCTGAGGTGGGAGGATCACTTGAGCCTGGGAGGCAGAGGTTACAATGAGCTGAGATTGCACCACTGAACTCCAGCCTTAGTGACAAAACCAGACCCTATATGCTGTCTCAAAGAAAACAAACAAGAAAAAGAAAAATCTTTGGAAACATAATGGTAATGGTTGCACAATACTGTGAATATTAATTAATTAAATTTATTTATTTTGAGATGGAGTCTCACTCTGTCGCCCAGGCTGGAGTACAGTGGTGCAGTCTAGGCTCACTGCAACCTCTGCCTCCTGGCTTCAAGCGATTCTTCTGCCTCAGCCTCCTGGGTGGCTGGGATTACAGGCGTGCACCACCACACCCAGCTAATTTTTGTATTTTTAGTAGAGGCAGGGTTTCACCATATTGGCTAGGCTGGTCTCTATCTACTGACCTCGTGATCCACCCACCTCTGCCTCCCAAAGTACTGAGATTACAGACATGAGCCACCACACCCAGCCTTTTATTTTTATTTTTGAGAGACAGAGTCTCCCTCTGGCACCCAGTCTGGACTGGAGTGGTACAGTCACAGCTCACTGCAGCCTCAAACTCCTGGGCTCGAGTGATCCTCCCACCTCAGCCTTTCAAGGAGCTGGTACCACAGGCATGTGCCACTACACCTGGCTACTTTTTCCTATTTTTCACAGAGACAGGGTCTTGCTATGTTGTCCAGGCTGGTCTAGAGCTCCTGGGCTCAAGTGATCCTCCCATCTTGGCCTCCCGAAGTGCTGGGATTACAAGCATGCACCACCACACTGGACCAGCACTGTGAATATTTATTAATACCACTGAATTGTATACTGAATTTAAAAAGGTTAAAATCACAAATTTTATATTATATAGTATATATGTGTTTTTACTGCAACGAAAACAGATACATGTATTTTTTTGATGGAGTTTTGCTCATTACCCAGACTGGAGTGTAATGACACCATCTCAGCTCACCGAAACCTCCGCCTCCCGGGTTCAAGCAATTCTCCTGTCTCAGCCTCCCAAGTAGCTGGGATTACAGGCATGCACTACCACACTCAGCTAATTTTTGTATTTTCAGTAGAGACAGGGTTTCACCATGTTGGTCAGGCTGGTCTTGGACTCCTGACCTCAGCTGATCCACCTGCCTTGGCCTCCCAAAGTACTGGGATTACAGGCATGAGCCACTGCTTCTGGCCAACAAAAATATTTTTAAAAAATTCATGGGCCAGGCGCAGTGGCTCAAGCCTGTAATCCCAGCACTTTGAGAGGCCAAGGTGGGCAGATCATGAAGTCAGGAGTTCTAGACCAGCCTGGCCAACATGGTGAAACTAAAAATACAAAAATACAAAAATTGTCTCTACTAAAAATACAAAAATTGGCCGGGCGTGGGGGTGCACACCTGTAATCCCAGCTCCTCAGGAGGCTGAGGCAGGAGAATTGCTTGAACCTGGGAGGCAGAGGTTGCAGTGAGCCAAGATCGTGCTACTGCACTCCAGCCTGGGTGACAGAGTGAGATTCCATCTCAAAAAAATAAACAACAAAAAAAAATTTTTAAAAATTCATACAATGTGAATGAACCTGTGCCAGCTAATACTGTTTTTCACTGTAGCCTTCTGCCCTTGACCTTGTGGGGAGAAAATTGTTCAGCAGTTGGAGCATAACAGGCCCTTTGCCTGTTGAAAGCCCCCAGAGAGGCTCAAAGGGAGCCAAGTCCCTGTTCCAGAGCAGGAAGGCATGGCGTGTCCTGTCCTAAGACACGCAGGATGTGCTGGAGGCCGCTCTCCACTAACAAGGCATCCCTCAGGGCTCTTTCGGACACTGAGGCAGGAGGATAACGAGGTCAGGAGTTCAAGACCAGCCTGGCCAAGAGACCAGCCTGGCCAGTATGGTGAAACCCCGTCTCTACTAAGAATAGAAAAATTAGCTGGGTGTGGTGGCGGGCACCTATGATCCCAGCTACTTGGGAGGCCTAGGCAGGAGAATTGCTTGAACCCAGGAGGCGGAGCTTGCAGTGAGCTGAAGATCATGCCATTGCACTTCAGCCTGGGCAACAGAGCGAGACTCCAACTCATCAAAAAAAAAAAAGAAAAAAAAAAGAAAAGGTTCTTTAGGACATTGGTCCTCCATCTTCTCAGTTGGAAGCTCCCGGAAATAAAATCATCTTCCTTAGCCCAACACCTTCTCTCAACTTATTGGCTGTCATGTTGTGAGTGGTAGAGTTTGGACTTGGCTGTACTGCTAATGATAGTGGCTACCACATGTGCCATTATCATTAATGTGAGGCATCACATTGGGACCAGAATGCCCACTGTATCCATTAAAATTAAGTGAGGTGTCAGCTCACCTAATTTTTTTTTTTTGAGATGGTATCTCACTATGTAGCCCAAGCTGGAGTGCAGTGGTGCAATCTTGGCTCACTGCAACCTCCACCTCTGGAACTCAAGTGATTCTCAGTGCCTTAGCTTCCCAAGTAGCAGGGACTACAGGTGCCTGCCACTTCGTCTGGCTAATTTTTTGTGTTTTTGTAGAGACAGGATTTGACCATGTTGCCCAGGGTGGTCTCAAACTTCTGAGCTCAGGCGATCTGCCCGCCTCTGCCTCCCAAAGTGCTGGGATTACAGGAGTGAGCCACCGCACTCAGCCAGCTCACTTAATTTTAATGGAATACAGTGGGCATTATGATCCCAACTTTACAAGTGAGAAAACTGAGACACAGAGAGGTCCCCAAAGTTGCCTAAAGTCACACAGTAAGTGGTAGAGCCAGGATTCCAGCTGAAGTCAGCTTCCACGTCCCACCTTCTAACCGCCGCCACTAGACTGCTGTGTCTGCTGGGGTGTTAGGTCACAGGAGAAAAGAGAGAACGGCTTTGTGACCCAGGAGCTCCTCCTTCACCTCCTCCTGCCATCCTCAGCACGAGCCAGCTGCGTGAAGGGTGCTGTGTGCTGGGCTGGAGGATGCAGCCATGTACAACTCCTCCTGAGGCACGCTGTGAAGGTGCAAGCGGTGTGTTCTGAGAGGTTGTGGACTACGTGGTTCTCCACCCAGTGAGCTGACGGGCGATGAAGGAAGGATGGCCGTTGGGAGGGGGAGCTGGTGGAGAGAGGGGCCAGCTGGGGAGGAGGGCGGAGGAGTAGCTTGAGTCAGACTGAGGAGTGCAGGGGAGGTGCTGGCTGTCCTTGTCACTCTTCTTTAGGAAACGCCTCTGTCAGTGCCTGGGGTTCAAGGAGGGTGGGCCGTTTTCTTTCTGAGTTCTGAGCAAATCAAGCTGGGGCATTCTGGGGTATGCTGCCCTATCCCAGGAGTCTCAGCCTTAGGTAGTCTGGCAATGTTCTCCTATAAATAATCAATAGACCCTGAACAGCACTTGTAAACTTGAGCGTAGAAAACTGGGTGAGACGTTTTTATGGTGAAAGAAGCTTCTCCTTAAAGTCCCCCCAGAAGCCTCAGGGACAGAGTGCCAGGGACAGGTTTTGGGGATGTGGGCTGGATAATGCTATCATGGGGCTGCTGGAATCTGGGGTGCCAGAGCTGCTGGTTGGAAAGCCCCCAGGTATGAGGGCAATGTGCCACTTTGACGAGGGCCTCTGCCTCCCACTTTTTTGGGCCTGAACAGTGCAGAGGATGAAAACGTCTCACCCAGCTTTCTACGTTCAAGTTTACAAGTGCTGCTCAGGGACCACTGATTATTTCCAGGGGAAGATCACCAAACACCCAAGGCCAAGACTCCCGGGATAGCGCAGCACGCCCTGGAGTCCCCCAGCTCGATTTGCTCATAGCTCAGAAAGAAAACAGCCCACACTCCTTGAACTTCAGGCACTGATGGAGGCATTTTCCAAAGAACAGTGACAAGGACAGCCAGCACCTCCCTTGCATTCCTCAGTCTGACTCAAGCTGCTCCTCCACCCTCCTCCCCAGCTGGAGCTGAGGCTGAGGGCAGTTGAGGGCCACCAGGGAGAAGAGCTGGGTCAGGGCTGTGACCCGCCAGCAAGCACGAGGCCAAGCAGATGTGCCGGGTGAGAGGCTGGAGGCCAGGTGGGAGCTGGCTGCCCTGCGGCGGCAAAGGACATGGCTGGAGGTTGGGATGGGTGCGAGGTTGAGTGTGCCTCAGAGTCTGGTTTCTGTTCCCATAGGACAGCTGTGGTGACAGAGCTGTGGCCAACTGCTCCCTGGGCTGAGGGTGAAGGAAGCTGTGCTCCCAATGGTGCTAGGGAAGGCTGCTGCAGGGTTGGAGGCCTGGGTGCTGGACTGCTGGGGAAGGCTGCCTGCTGCACCCCCAAGCTGCAGTCAGGGCTCACCCTGAGGCCCTGAGGTGGGGAGAAAGCAGCTCTCTCGTACATAGCCATGTGCACATGCACGCGCGCGCGCACACACACACACACACACACACACACGACGCTCTCACTTCATCCCCGAATTCTCCCTTCCACACACAAAGCTAGTTTCCAGTTCTCCAGTCCCCCTCCATCCCTCTCCGCTTCTGTAGTCTCTGCTGGGCTGCACTGGGGATCTGGTCCCAATTTCCCCCTTCCCTTGCTGCCCCTGTAACAAAGGGCTGGCCATGTGACATGATCTCCTGAGGCTTCAGAGAAGTGATTTTACCCCGAGCTACACAGGTGGGAAGACCACCAGCCTGGAAGGTGTGTGGTGGGTTGGGAAGACAGGAAGGGCAGGAGCAGGGGCCGAGGCCTGGGTTGCCCCCCAGGGAAACTCACTATCCTCATCAGGGCCCTTCAGCCACTTTCCCAACAAGCAGCAAATCTCCGCCGATTGAACTCTGACCGAGGCAATGGGGGCACGCCAGGCAACAAGGTGGAGGTTTGCTAGCATGGGAGCAGGGACGGCGTTGAACACAGACGCTCTGGGTATTGAAGAGGAGGCTTCACTCTTAAATCCACACCAACTGCTCCCTTCACTTCCCCCGGTGAAGAACGAAGGACCCTGTGGGATTTCTACTTCGAATCTCTCATTTATTCCGACATTCACTCGGTTGCGACTCCAAGTTATCAAAGATGCAAGACAAGAAGTCTATAGCAGGAGTGGTGAAGTGGAGGTGGAGAAAGACTGCGGAGAGGGCTGTGTTCCTGGCCCCTCCTTCTCTTCCAATTTAGGGCACCGTTTGAAAAGAGTACAAATAGTGTCCCTTAGCACAGACTAGACAGCAGAAAAGGACAGTGCAGTTGAGTGGGGGAGCTCCCTTTTCCACAGGGTGGGGCCCTGCAGCGGCAGCGGGCAGGCAGGCAATCTCCAGCCTGGTTGGAGCCCGTGCCCTGAGCAGCGTGGGCTATGTGGGGAAGAGCTGGGGCCCACCGTCTCTCCAATGCCCCAAACCCAGATTGTGATTTGTGGGGCTGGCAGGGCTTAGCTAGGAAAGCGGTAGGAGGGAGGGGATTGCACAGGACGCTTGCACTCAGGGACCCCATCGATCAGGGGCAAGAAGCGGGTGATGGTTAATTGGGTCTTGATTTTTACAAAGGCAGGATGTAGGAATGATGTCATTTCTGGTGAGAAGGACATGGCTGCTGTGGTTGATTGGCTGTGGAATTCCCGGGGAGCAAGGCACTAGGAAGTGGGGAACGCTGCCAGGCCCAGCAGCTCGTCAGGAGCTTGCACTTGGCCCAGTTAGGGCTGGCTGTGGGACGCGTGTGCTGAAACTGCTGCCGTAAGCTGCCCCTCTGCACCAGGAGACAGACCCCATTACCCCACCTACAGCTGCTTCCTGGTACAAGAGAAGTTACCATTTGAAGTGACTCCATAGGAAAGTCTGACAAACATGTTTGCTTTTCACTGACAATTAAAATTGTTTTGCTGCTAATCTTGTTTTATGGTGGTCTTTCATCCATCAGCAAGCATCCCTGCACACAAGATCAGAGAGTTGGGTAAATACATCCAGGCCCTGCCAGGATTAGGGCAAGAGGGAGTGGTCTGGGCCGGCAGATCTTTTTCGGAAATTCTCACTTCTTGGAGCACTAAAGGGTTCTTAGTCTATCTGGGCAAGCCTCGTTTCCCTGGAATAAATGGAATCTCAGAGACTAGTGACTGGTCATAGAGCTAATGAGTGACCAAAGTGTGACCAGAGCCCAGGTCTGTTTCTCAACCCAGGGCACTTTGATTCTAGATTGAAATGTGAGGTGACAGGTGCCTTAATAGTGGTGCAAAAGATGTGCATTCCCCTCCTCCTCCCTGCCCGCTCCCTGCTCCCTCAGCGGCACCTGACCTTCGTCAGATGCAGAATCAAGATTTCAGCAAGGGGGCCAGCCCTTTCCCCGCCCCACCCTCCTTGAATTCAGTGACTCAGGAGTGGGAGTCACTTCTATGCCCTTAGAAGGGGGCCAGCTTCTGCAGAGGCCACTGGAAAACTCATCAAGATACTCACAAAGCATAAAGCCACTGCCACATTCTAAGTGGGAAGTCGGAGTTGGAAATGAGGCTGGTGTGAGACACAATAAAAGGCTCATTGCCAGGAGACTGGGGAGTAGGGCGGCCAAGGGAGGGCGGCGAGCGTGGAATCCCAAAGCTAAGTCACGTCCCTCCCATCCTCAGGACTGGGCTGTTGCTCTGGTGGGTTGAAGATCCTGCTCAACGGCATCACGGGTGGATGCTCATGTAGAATGCCGGCTCTGGCGGAGTTGACGTGGTTTCAGCCGCTGCAGCATCGCCCCACGGAGACTCCGTGCTCCTCCTGTTCACTAGCCCGCTGGCTGCCTTAACAAGCTGTTTGGGGATCAGACTTTTCCTTCTCCATGGTACATGGGAGACCTTTCCTTTTTGCAGCTCCTGAAGGTACAAAGCCCCTGGTGCCTACCCGTGGTGACTGGTGTGTGTGTGTGTACACCTGGGAACGGGCATGCACACACCCTCACAGGACTGCATCCACGCAAGCTGCTCGGCGTGGTGGGCTGGGCCGAGAGACAGTCAGCTGGTCTCTTTGCTAAGCTACTAGAAGTCGGCTAACAAAAATGAAAAAGCTTCTCCAGCAGGGGGCGCTGGTTCCTAAGGCAGAGAAAGGATTTCGGGGAACACAAGGTTAGACAGTCACTTTCTGGTGCAGTCCCCACAGGCAACCTTAGGCTTTAAAGTCAACTTGACGTGTTCCACGAGGAAGGGGGCAGGTGAGATGTGATACGTTCAGGAATCAACGTCCCTACGGGAGCAGCTACAGTGACAGCAGTAGCTATGGTAACCAACGTACAAAACTTGGTTGTGAACTAGCTGTTGAATTCATCTCAGCAAGCTCCTCCTGAAGCAGTGCCGTTGACGCCCTGCCCCTCGGTTCTCCAGTGCTGGAATTGCAGCTCTCACTTCTCCCTTGCCCTCTGTCCGCTTCTCCTAGGCACAAATGCTTCATCTCCCGTGGACCCTGGAGGGCTCCAGAGCCTTTGCTGAGCTTTCCCCGGTGCTCCTTTTTGCAGTTCAGCAAATTCAGGGGACTGGGGCACACTGCAAGGGGTTGTGGTGGTACTGGGGCTGCCAGAGGAGTGTCCCAACCAAGAAACTGGCGAAGCTGCAGACTTGACCTAGCAGTCCCCCACCTCTGGGCCACAGAGTTGGAGCCAGGCCCTGTCCTGGTTCTCAATGCACTCAAAAGCGTAAATCCTAGTAAACCCTCCACTGCGGAGCGAGAAAAGCCAAAGAAACAGAGACAGCCCCTGTGGGGCTGCTGGAGGGTCATCCACCGCCCCCATGGCCCCCGCCAGGGCATCAGTGTGGGTGTGTGTGGGGGTCAGGGGTGGAAGGGTTTATACGTCTGTACTAATAGCCCTTGGATTGGTGAAGGCCTCACGCCCAGAGCCTGGCCAGGTCACCGGATAACTCTGGGGTGCTGCCAATTTGAGGGATGGGGGTCCCCCCTCTTTGTAGCATGTGGGAGCAAAGGAGAGCCTCTCGCCTCCACCCCCATTGGGCACCATGTCAGTCGTCCGTATGTAAAAGGGGGAGCTGTACGGGGAGCAGGTAGTGCAGTGGCTCGCGGCCACCCCGCAGGGCTGGCTGCAGGGCCCGCTGGTGAGAGGTGCCAGGCTGCCTCTGCCATCCAGGGCCTGGGAGCTGCAGGCATTGCAGCTGGGGCCTCTCGGATGCGTGGGAAGGTCGTGCTCCCGCTCCTCCTCCTCGTCTGCATCCTCGGTTCCGCTCTTCTTGCAGCAGTAATACTGTGCGGAAGGGGAGAGGGATGCCTGAGAGCATGAATGCTTCCCCGACCCCACGCATTTTTGAGTGTGCACAGGTGCCCCTGCCCCTGCTCCATGGAGAACCTAGTGCCAGGCACTGAACCCCAGCGGCCTGCTCCACAAGTTTCTATTCCCAGCTTTGCAAAGCCAGTGCTGCTTTCCCTTTCCCCTCCCACTGCTCCTCACAGTAACTCCAGGCTGTGGTTGAGTTGGGCAGGGACACACACATATTGAGGACAGGGCTGGGGCTGCTGGCGGCAGCTTTCAGAGTCTCCCCAGAATGGTGCTCTTCCCACGCCCCTGAAATCTCAGAGGTGCAGGAGACACAACCCAATGACCCCGTATCTCCCCAGCACACTTTCTGTGCGCTCTGAGCCGGCAGGCTGGGGGGTGCTTAGCTTCCTTCTGACCAGCCCCAACTCCCAGCCTCCTCGACTTACGCCTGCCATATTCCATGGCTTTGGGCTCTGTGGGCACTGAAGTCAGCCTCCAGTTTCTGCCCCCATAATGAAAAAGAGGTTTGCTGGTGGCCTGGCAGCTTCTGGCTACGGGTCCCGGGGACTGACCTGGAGCCTGCAGTAGCACAGGACGGCAATGATGCAGAGGAGGATCACCGTAGCTAGGATTCCGCCAGTGATCACAACCGTTCCCGCTGTCATCCGCCCGGCGCCCCATCAAACTCTGCAAAGATGTGCGGAGGGCTGAGGACCAGCTGTGGCTGCAGCCCTGGGCTGGGCCGGGGGCAGTCTTTCTGGAACTGCCCCGAGGCTGGGGCAGGGGGCCTGAGAGCAGCAGGTGCAGGAAGGGCCAGGCCCCAGGGGCTTCCTGAAGGCTGAGGACTGGCTCTGGCTCCAGACCGGGCCAGCCTAAGTGGGGGAAGTTGGAGGTGTTTGGCACAGGGCAGATAACAGCTGCGGGAGGGAAGAGAGAAAGCTGAGTGCTAATTCTGCCCCTTGCTTCTATCCAGTTTCAAAAAGTTCTCACGATCTTTCCCCTTTGGTGCTCTTCTCACCTTTCCTCTCCCCTCACACCCTTCTTAGCCCCGGCTTCTGCGTGGCTCCAGACACAGAGGAACAGCTGCTGCTGACTGTGGGGCTCCTCCCTGTGTGGCATCATGCTAAGCACCCCCACGCATCTTACCACATCTTCGCGGTAACCCTTTGGGGCAGTTATTAGCTATCCCTACTGCACGCATGCTAAACGGGGGTGGAGAATAATTTGGCTGCGATTCCACCCAGCCCGTTCATCCCCAAGGCTGTGCTCTTGATCCCCGCCATCCTGGCACACACCCCAGTGGTCCCTGAGCCCTTGTCCCGGGCTGGCGGGGAAAGGGCCAACTCTCAAAAACATCAGGTGGCTCTTCTCTGGCTCAAACCCGCACTTCTTTTAGGGATATCTCTGTTCTTCAAACCCTCCTGAAAAACAAGGGCAGGGCAAGCCCAGAGGGAGTGGTGTGTGGCATCCTGGGCCCTGGAAGGCTGTGGCCAGACTGGGGAGACTGGTCCTGGCTTCTGAGGCTGAATGAACAGGACAGAGGCAAGCTCTGGGCATGAGGCTGTCCTGGCTTCAGGCAGCTTATCCTTTTAGGTCAGTAAATGCGGATTTCTGAGCCTCCCAGGTGCACTGGGACCAAGGGGGCAGGAGGGTGGGGACTGGGGACTTGGCATCTTGGAGATGGAAAAATGACTAGATCACTTACGTTCAGTAAAGGGAACGGTGACCTGCAAGACAACAGAAAGGACAGAGATGTTGGAATAAGAGAGTTACCTGCTGAAAAAAGCCAGAAGGGTTAGATGATTCCCAGCCAACCCTCATTTTGCTTTCTTCACTGTGTGGCATATCATCAGTGAGCCCACAGACCCCAAGTCTGGGTCTCCAACTGCTAGCAGATGGACATTTCGGTGGATGTCCCAGTGGTCATCTCAAACTCAGTTGTGACAGGCTAAAGTCATCACCCTGCTCTCCAAATGGACTCCCCGCCTCTGACCTGTCTGTCTCTGTTGGTGACTCCACCATAGCTGCCCCGAAGGGCTTTGCAAGTTGTTTATTACTCAAAGGGTAAGTGGGGCTAGAACCCAACCGCACTCTGCTCACAAAGCTGTGCACCCTGGCGTGCTCACCGGGTAAAAGGGGTACCTTTATCTCTTCACCCAAATATACCACCTGCCCACCACTGTCGTCCTAGAGAGCTGCACCTGCCCAGCAGCGTGGCTCCACATCCACTCCTGCTCTGTGGACTAGCAGCGTGGGCATAACCTGGGAGCGCCACTAGATAGATGGCATCTCAGGCCCTTCACAGGACTAATGAGTCAGAGTTTGCATTTTCACAAGGTCTCAACTGAATAAGTTGCACATGAGAGTTTGACAAGGCCATGGGACATTCCCCCATCTGCCCAGAATTGAAACTCCTCAAATTCTTCTTTGGCTTCCCCAGTCTTCTGTCGCCCACTCCAGTGAAGACTCGTCACCTCTCAAGCTGCAGTGGCGCAATGGTTTCCTAACGAACCTTCCCAGTTTTGTCTCTGAGTACCCTTCCTGCCACCAGCTGTTAAGCCTTTCTTCATACCCCTGGGCGTTTCTGTGACTCTCATGCACCACATTGCCTGCAGGATACATTTATCTGCCCATAAACTTTTAGAGACAGCTTCAAAGGCATAGCCATCCCCCAAGTTCCTGCACGCTCACCCTATTTATCTTTCCCTCCCCACCTCCCTTTCTTCCGCCTACGTGATCTGCTGCCCCACCATGCAGTCCCACTGTTCCTTTTTTTGGAGATGGAGTCTCACTCTGTCCCCCAGCGTGGAGTGCAATGGTGCAGTCTCGGCTCACTGCAACCTCTACCTACCGGGTTCAAGTGATTCTCGTGCCTCAGCCTCCCGAGTAGCTGGGATTACAGATGTGCAGCCCCACACTGGGCTAATTTTTCTATTTTCAGTAGAAACAGCATTTCACCACGTTGGCCAGGCTGGTCTCGAATTCCTGACCACCCACCAAGTTGGGTGATCCACCCGCCTCGGCCTCCCAAAGTGCTGGGATTACAAGTGTGAGCCACAGTCCTACAGTTCTTAAGCAGCTTATTGCTTAGTGATGAAAATACACAGGGCAACCCTTACGATACAGTGTGAGACTCGCAGCCACAGAATCGCAGGCCAGAACTGTGGAACACAGAGTGGGGCAGCTAACGACTCGGGGGGAGATGCTCCACTGCAGATGTTGTATTGAGGTGAATCCTAAAAGGTGAGTGACAGCCTATCCGGTAGACAAGGTGGGGAGGGAGAATGAACAGTCCAGGGGTGTGAAGAGAACAGTTCCAGGAACTGCGAGGAATCTGGCGAGGCTGGGACAGGCCAGGGCAGGCATGTGCCTGGAGAGGCGGCAACCCGGGCAAGGAATCCGGATGAACTCTCCTGGAGGCCGTGGGGGTTCCTGAGGGGGCTTTCGACAGGGGAGTGTGTGGTCTTTCTTTTTCTGTCTGTTTCAATCCTGCTCTTCCTTCAAGGTTCTGAGAAGCCTCCCCTGAGTGCCCCAGCCCTGATGCTCTCTCACTTCTGGGCTCCTACTGCAATGCCCTTCATGGTTCGCTCTTCAAATCCCACTGGGTGGGATAAGAGTCAACTTTTCATGTGGCAACATGTTGATTCCTCCACTATATTATAAGTCCTCTGGGATCAGGGTTTGTGTCTTACATGGTCTCCTATCCCCTGCAGCCTTAGGCACCATGTCTGACACATGGTGTCAGACTTAAAAGCTCACTGTTCAGCTTGTCACAGCCCTGGCAGTTATGACTCTGACAGACCACCAGGGGGCAGCAAGCCGCATCTCTCAGCTCAATCCCATCGGCAGACTTGAGCGTCCCTGTTTGAGACCGCTTTGATTTTGCCCAGGTGCATGGTGGGCCATGCTTCAGAGGTTTCTTGGGGCCTCTGGAGGCGGGGCCAGATGAATCTCAGCTTGGGGAAGGCTTAGGCACTTTCACTACAGCACCACTTCATCCCCCCAACACTTCCCTGCATATTCATCGCTGAGGGTTGCTTAGGGACAGAGAGGTCTAGGAGTGACCTGAAGCTGGGGAGGCAGCAGTGATCCACCCCACAGACAGGCTTGGACTAGCGCTCCAGGATGTGCCCAGTCTGTTTGAGGAGACAGGGAATTATGGAGAAGCCGTATAAGAACAGTGCCCTCCCTCCTCCCTGCCCCTGTCCTGGGCCACCCCTCTTTCAGGACCACACAGGTTGCACATAGCAATGGCCTGGACATTGGGGGCATGGCAGTGTGGGCAGAGCTGGGGTTCTCAAGGCCCAGGTTCGAGGATCACCTGTGCCACTGAGCAGCTGCCCCATATTGGAAAATGACCTTCTTTCTCACTTCTGAAGCAAAGATGAACAAAACACTCAGTTCTCACATTCCTCTGTCTTCCTCGCCAGTAGGACTGTAAGGAATTGTAACCAAGGATCGCTGATCTTCCTCTGAGTTCTCAAGTGTGACTGTGAGGAACGAGGGGGATGAGTGTGAGAGTTCTTTGTGAACTAGAAAAGACCCCACAAACAACCATGTTTGTGGGGAGAAGGAAGGCCTAGACCTGTTGTGGCTGTTTAGGTCTGGCCTTAAAATCATAAGCCAGGAAGGGACATGTAAAGGGTGTGAGATGAACTAATCAGCTCTCAACAGTTTACCTGAAGGCTCAGTACTAATGGAAAAAAAAATTTTTTTTGAGACAGGGTCTTGCTCTGTCCCCCAGGCTGGAGTGCAGTGCTGTGATCTCGGCTCACTGCAGCTTCAACCTCCAGGGCCCAAGCGATCTTCCCACCTCAGCCTCCCAAGCAGCTGGGACCACAGGCGTGGGCTACCACACCCGGCTAATTTCTGTACTAACGGTACAGTTTAGCATTTACATTCCCACATTCAGTGGCTCTCTATGATTTCAGGAGGGCTCATTGTCTCTCTGCAATTAGATGCAAATGCTGGCAGTAACTTCTTACACCCAAACAGCAGCCTACAGTTTACAAAGTGCTCCATTTATGCTCTCTTATGGCAGGCGGGCTCTGAGATGGCCCAAGTGGTCACTGCCTCCTGGCAGTTAGGTCCCTGTGTACTCCCCGCCCCACCCCCGAGTATGGGTGTGACCTGTGACTTGCTTCTAACAGAACGGGTAATGGGATGTCACTTCTGTGAATAGATTATATAAGATTCAGACTATTCTCTTGCTAGCCATTGTCTCTGATGGTTTTGATACTGAAAGTTGCCATGTTGGGGAAGCCCATATGTGAAGAAACCTAGGGTGGCCTCTGGCCAATTCTTGGCTGGGGACTGAGGCCCTCAATCCAGCCCCCCAAAAGGAACTGAACAGCCACATACATGAGAGTGGAAGTGGATCCTTCTCCAGTTGACCTTGGGGATGAATTGACAACCCCAGCTGAGACCTTGAGGCAGAAGGTCAACCAGCCACGTCTGGACCTCTGACCCACAGAAACAGAATCATTTTGTATTGTTTTAAGCTGTTGAGTTTGTGGTCGTTTGTGATGCAGCAAAAGATAACGAATACACATTCTTGAATCTTACAAAAGCCCCAGCAATGCTGGAGGAGAAGCGAGACCATTAAGTCATTTTTCTAAAGTCATAGGATAACAAGTGTCTGCGTCAGGGCCCGCGGGCCAGTGCTGTGGAGTTTCTAACACACCAGCTGCCTCCTGAGGTGTCCTGAGGACAGGAGAAAGAGGTCCCTATGTTCCCACCCAGGTCTCAGCAGGTCTGCGGCAGAATGACTCAGTGGTGGCCAAGTCAGGGAATGGGGGTAGCCAGAGGACAAACCTGCTGCCCACTAAAGAATCCTAAGGGCCTTCCCTCTGTGACCAGGACTTTCTGAAGCTCCTTCCCCACTGGTGGCCCAGACACCCTCTCCCCGGGGAAAAGGGAGTGGCCCGTGCCTTACACTTACGTGAAACAGCTGGAGCAGTGGTGGCTCAGTCACGCAGGCTACGTCTGAGCAGACAGCAAGTGGGGATGCGTCATGGCCAAGGGCATCAGTCCCTGCCAGAGAAGAGAGAGGAAGACCCATGAAAGCTGGACAGGAAGGCTGAGGACAGACAGGCTCCTGCTGGCCCCCAGTTGTGACCCCACGGCTCTAGAGTGGAAGTCTCTCTAGGGGTTTGCTTCTTGAGGTAAACCTCCGCGGCTGCCTTGGTTTCTGAGGCCCCAGCCTAAGAACCTGAGGACAGACCTGTAAGGTTACATCTACCCCAGCTGTGTCTCCTTCCCTCTGTGGTGCTTCTGGAACCCTGTGCCCAGGGCAGCAGCAGAATGCTGGGCACGTGTCTGGGAGGTGATGCTGAGCGGGGCAGGGCACTCGGCTGGTTTTCTCCTGCTCCACTGGAGGATTTGGATCTGTGCCCAGTGGATGCGTCCTTGTTGCCTGCATGACTGACCCTGCTCTTAACATACCTCTTTCTCGGCCCCTTCCCCACCGTTTCCTGGTCCTATTTTTTCCCAGTGCCTGGGCTGCACACTTCCTTCCCCTACTCCAATATCCTGACTTCTATCAGGCCAAAGATGGCGACTGGACAGCCAGAGGAGCAAGTTCAGGCTGCTGTGCTGTTGGGGGAGGGGGAGGCAGGGTCCTCTCGAGACATCCAGGAATCCAGGGTAGGCTAATTTTTGGGGGTCTCTTTACATTCTTTTATTTGTTTATTCATTTAACCAATCACTCTAACCCAGGACAGGGCTGATCTCTTTTTTTTTTTTTTTTTTTTTTTTTTTGAGACACAGTCTCACTCTGTCACCCAGGGTGGAGTGCCACTGCAGCCTCGGCCTGCCGGGTTCAAGCGGTTCTCCTGCCTCAGCCTCCCAAGTAGCTGGGACTGCAGGCAGCCACCACTGTGCCCGGCTATTTTGTGTTTTTAGTAGAGATGGGGTTTCACCACGTTGGCCAGGCTGGTCTCAAACTCTTGACCTTAAGTGATCCTCCCGCTTTGGCCTCCCAAAGTGCTGGGATTACAGGCTTGAGCCACTGCACCCAGCCAGGATGGTGTTGATCTTTAAATAACCACTCAACATTATTCGGAAGAGTCTGAACCCTACACTGAGAGAAGGAGGGAGAGGAGGCATGCCCTGTGGGGGTGATGCTTAGCCCTGGCTCAGAGGTCCCGAGGAGGAGAGGCCTCCCTGGGTGGGGGATGTTTGTATTGGGGAGGAAACCCAGCCATTAACCATATCCACAGAGCCACCTTCCAAGGGGACAGGGCTAACCACCTCCAGGTTCTCACCCTTGGCCAGAAGCTGGAGGTCAAAGGACAGACATTAGCATGATGCCTCAGGGACTAGGCCTATCCGAGCCCAGCAGCTCTCAGGGGCAGAGCCCTGGGGAAAGCTGAGAAGGAGGCAGAGTGACTGCATGACAGACCAGCCTTGTCCCCATTATCACCTCCCTCCTAGATCTAGACCTTCCTACCCTCTCCCACCTCCTGCCTTGGACATTCTGGGCACTTGGGCTTTCTTTTCTCCAAGATGTTCTCACTCAGATTAACCTGTGACATAGAGTTTAATGTCACTGGGTATCACAGAGGGGCTCTTCCTGCACGAGTTCTGACATGGCAAAGGATAGAAATCAGAAGGCGAAAGTGAGTCTAGGGCAGGGCCATCTTCCCCTGGCTGTGCACAGACTGTACAATGGGAATGTAAGAACATCTATCTCAGGATCCATAGATGCTTTCACCCACTTTAGAAAACATGGATAGCCGGGCGCGGTGGCTCAAGCCTGTAATCCCAGCACTTTGGGAGGCCGAGACGGGTGGATCACGAGGTCAGGAGATCGAGACCATCCTGGCTAACACGGTGAAACCCCGTCTCTACTAAAAAAATACAAAAAACTAGCCGGGTGAGGTGGCGGGCGCCTGTAGTCCCAGCTACTCGGGAGGCTGAGGCAGGAGAATGGCGTGAACCCGGGAGGCGGAGCTTGCTGTGAGCCGAGATCCGGCCACTGCACTCCAGCCTGGGTGACAGAGCGAGACCCCGTCTCAAAAAAAAAGAATTAAAAAAAAAAAAAAAAAAAAAGAAAACATGGATAGGACTGTAACTTGGTGAAGGTTTGGTGAGGGGATTTCCATGGTGAGAGGCATTGCTGAGCTATGTATCCCAAGGGAGGAGGGCTCTGGGGCTGGCTGTCTTGAGTCAATATTGTGTAAATGTCAACAGGGAGAAGACCTCCACTGAAGAGGCTGTGGGCGGCCTCCAGATGCCCAGAGGCTGAGCAAGGGGTTGCAAGAGACTCCTGGGACAGAGATGCAGTGCTTGAATGGGTGAAGGGAACTTCAGGAGAGAGGGGTCCAGTCCAGCAGGGAACCCCAGGAGAGCCCACAAAAACATTTTCAAAAGCAAGAGCCAGTTTTAAGTTTCTCCAAGCTCTCTAACCAGTAAGAACCCCGAATTTCAATCCTGGCAAGTGGTAAAACAGCAGCTCCTGGGTGGTGGTAGGGAAGAGAGAACAGGGTGATGTAGACAGCAGAGGGACGTGTGGGGCCCACCTCAGGTGCTTCCAGCTTGAGCAGAGTGAAACTGGAAGAAAGGAGAAAAACACTGCAGTCAGAATAAGAGTGTTTCATTACTCATGATTATTATGCATTCTTTTTTTTTTTTTTTTTTTTTTTTTTTGTGAGATGGAGTTTCACTCTGTCACCCAGGCTGGAGTGAAGTGGTACAATCTCAGCTCACTGCAACCTCCGCCCCATGGGTTAACGCGATTCTCCTGCCTCGGCCTCTTAAGTAGCTGGGATTACAGGTGCCCACCACCACCCCCGGCTAATTTTTGTATTTGTAGTAGAAATGGGGTTTCACCATGTTGTCCAGGCTGGTCTCAAACTCCTGACGTCAGGTGATCCACCTGCCTCGGCCTCCCAAAGTGCTGGGATTACAGGCATGAGCCACCACGCCCGGCCTCTGATGCATGCTAATGTCTGAGTGGACTATCTATAACTTACAGTAACTACAAGGCTATCACCGAAGACCGGATGAAAAAGCAATGGGATTGGACCAAGTTTTTTTTTTCTAGGGGCAGGGGAAGATTTCTCCCACTGAATACATTTTACAGGGACATTTGAAGAAAAAAAATTAAAGTTGCTTTTTGAGCATAAATCATGCAACATGTTTGTTACTTACAGAAAAATGATCCATGGAAATGTAAGGACTCCAGTGTCTTTTAAAGAAACTTTTATTTTAGGTTTGGGGGTACAAGTGCAGGTTTGTTACACAGGTAAACTCATGTCATGGGGGTTTGTTGTACAGAGTATTTCATCACCCAGGTATTAAGTCTAGTGCTCAACAGTTATTTTTTCTGCTCCCTCCCTCATCTTACCCTTCACCCTTAAGTAGGCCCCAGTATGTATTGTTCCCTCTGTGTTCTGGGGTCTCATCATTTAGCTCCCCCTTATACGTGAGAACATGTGGTCTTTGGCTTTCTGTTCCTGTGTTAGTTTGCTAAGAATAATGGCCTCCAGCTTCATCCATGTTCCCGCAAAAGACATGAGCTTGTTCTTCTTTATGGCCGCATAGTATTCCATGGTGTATATGTACCACATTTTCTGTAGTCTGTCACTGATGAGCATTTAGGTTGATTCCATGGCTTTGCTATTGTGAATAGTGCTGCAATGAACATTTGTGTGCATGTGTCTTTACAATAGAATGATTTACAATATCTTTATTTTCTAGATGATGAAACCAAGTTCAGACAGGACAACTGACTTGTTTAACACACACAGCAAGGCAGAGATGGCACTGTAGAGGTCCCAGGCCAGGGCCCTTCCATTTGATGTTGTCTCTCCTTCCAGAAGATCTGCACTTATTCCATCAGGAGCTAGGGTGTCCCCTGAAGTGGAGTTGATGGTAACTCTGGCTTGACAGTAACAATTACCTGAGCCACGTATTAAAAAAATGGAGACTCCAGAGTTACTGAAGCAGCATCTACAGGGTGGGGCCCGGGAATCTATATTCTTAGCAGGTTTGAGCCTTACCATCTGGCCTTTTGGAAAATGATGCAAGAAGAAACTTCTCTGGGAGGATTTCAGTCTGGAGGCAGTAGGGGAGGGGAGTGATCTTGCAGAGTCTGTGGCATCATCTGGTGCCCATGACAAGAGTGGCTCTGGGTTCTGTGTCCTGAAGGCAAGCAGGCCAGGGGGCAGGAGGAGGGGGAAGCCTAAGAAGAACCAAAGGCATGTGGCATTAGCCTGGGTGGGGATGGAGCCAATAAAGTGGTCAGATGGGGGGCCTGGCTGGGCTCGGTGGCTCACACCTGTAATCCTAGCACTTTGGGAGGCCGAGGCAGGTGGATCACGAGGTCAGGAGTTCGAGACCAACCTGGACAACATGGTGAAACCCTGTCTCTATTAAAAATACAAAAGTTAGCTGGGTGTGGTGACACGTGCCTGTAATCCCAGCTACTTGGGAGGTTGAGGCAGGAGAATTGCTTGAACCCGGGAGGTGGAGGTTGCAGTGAGCTGAGATTGCACCATTGCACTCCAGCCTGGATGAATGCTGGCAGGAAATGCCAGCTGCGGCTGGCACCAGCACATGTAATTAACCATCGACTGCCCCCTGCTCCTTGCTCAGCCCCCTGAGGAGCACAGGTTAATTGAGTGGGGCCTAAGCACTGGCTGATCTCAATTTCTCTGATGCAATTAAGCCTTCTCCACTCATTTATTAACTCATGAAATTGACACAGCAGGTTAGCAGCCCCAGAGAAGAGGAAGCTTTTTTTCCTTGTTACCTGTCTTCCTGTCCTGCAATCCTCAGGCAAGTCTGGAAGAAGGAAACGGGGAAGGGGTTCCCTTTACTTTGATTGTACGTATGCCGATTACAAAGTCTTGACCCCCAGGATGAGGGTTTGAAGAACTAGTGACCACATGGGTTCTCTTACCCTAGATGGGTAACTACAGCAGCAAAGAGATGTGCACTCTTTGAGAAGGGGTCTCTCTGGGAGACACAGGACTCTTGCAAATCATCAAGAAAAGACCTCCAAGAACCCCAGTGTAACAGTAGGCAATGGACAAGTGGTTTACCCTAAAGGCTCCCAAGGAAATGAAGAGATGCACAAACTCATTAGTATTTCAAGAAATACAAGCTGAAGCCACAATGAGTTATCACTTTTTACCTTTGGATTGGCAAAAGTCAGGAGCAGGATAATGCCGAGCACTGATGCAGACGTAGGTATACAGGAACACTGGTGGTGGGCATAGCTGGGGCAGTCACTGAGGGAGTGACCCGGTACCACTTAGTCATAGCAAGTACACATATGGCCCATGAAATAGCAGTTCTGCTCCTGGTTCGATGTCCCTGAAATTTCTTAACACAGCCATAAGGGGTCATATGTGAAGATGTTTATTACCATGCTGGGCTGTTTATGATGGCGGGGACTTGGAGGCAACCTCAGTGATCATCACTGAGGAGCAGACCCGAAAACTCAGGTAGATGCTATCACAGAGGATATGCACCTGCTGAAAGCAGAGGACCAGATGTGGCACTGCAACACACAGCAGCGAGGAGAAAGCTTAGCACAGTGGTAAGAGAAACAACAAAACAAAACCAAACCACCAAGCATGAGAGGCATAAGAATTCTGCTCGCATGGATTTAAACTACAAGCATACAGATCCACAATCCACATGTTCGAGAACACATACCAAAAAATGAATACACATCATGGCTGCCTATGGAAGAAGGTAAATGAAAGTGAGAGTGAGAAACATAAATAAGATGTGACAGATCTTGCACAGACAAATGATCATGATACTGTGCTATGATCTGAAGAACACCGTTAACTTAGTCTTCTGCATCTGAAGTCCAACTCAAACAAAAAGAGAAAAGAAAGGAGGCTTTCCCTTTCCCCAGGGAGCCTTTCAGGATTGACTAAATGCTGCACATTTTTGTTTGGTCTTCCTGAGGCCTATTTGTCCTCCAGTATTGGCATTTATTGATACACGGGTATCTTGTGGGTATATTTTGCTTTCTTCTTTACAGTTTAGACCATTTTGGGGCACGGACTTGGAATCACGTGTCTTTGTTAAGCTCCACTCCAGCCGCCTGCCTGGTATCTGCACATTCTGAATGCTGGAATGACCAGGTCTAAGGGGGAAGTTGCTTTGCACAGAGTGCTGTCCCCACACAGAGCCCTCCATCCTGCTGTGCTCTGCTGTGCACAGTGGAAAGAGCACTAGGCCAGGAGTTCCAAGATTTGGGTTTAAACCCTATTTTCTGCATTCATTACCTGGGTGACTTTGGACAATTAATGATCTCCTTGAGGCTCATCTGTAAAACGGAGATAAATAATACACCTTTCTCTACGGGGTGAGGATTACCTGGAAAATGGGGGGGACGGTGATCTTTAAAATCACACTGCCTTCTAAAAAGGGCTGACGTTGTCCCAAGAGCCTCAGGGTCCCTGCAGTTAGCCCTCCAAGCTGCTCACGGCAGAGGCGTCTCCACGCTCACTCGTCCCTGGGTGAGTCTGGCTGTGCTGAGGTTTGGGAGTGGACCTGGGAGAGCTGTGTGGGTGTTGGGTGACCAGCAGATCAGGGAGGGTGGGGTGAGGAAGAGAGATGAGCCCTGAAAAGCAGCTGAGGCTGGGGGATTCCGCTGCGTCTCCTGGCCAGTTAAAACTCCCAGCAGTCAGCCTCTGCAGAAGGCTTCCAGGAACTGGGAGGTGTCTTATTGAATTCCAGGTTTTTGTGGTGGTGTCTCCTCAATGTGAGTGATATTTTTCTTCTCTGTGGCAATCCAGTGAAGGGGCTGAGTGCCTATCTGGGTGCATATACAAAGCCCACAGAAGACACTCACAGCGAGAAGAATTCAGTGGAGGGAGGAGTTTGGAGCCAGAGGTGACCATGAGAACAGCACCTCGCAGAATAGAGTTTAGGTTTCCGCTGAGCCCTATTATGGGGGTTTGAGCAAGTCGTATCTAGATCCTGCGGAACATGTGACCCCAGCTCATATTTGAGTTATGCCTGAGGTAATGCGTGTGAAAATGAGTTTATTATTCCTCTTCTCTTCCATTCCATCCTTGATGAGCTGCTCAGAACAGAACATGACCCGCAGGCTCCTGATCATGACCTTGACTGGACCTTGTCTGGCTGGGCCTTTGTCTCAGCATCCTTGTGGAAACTCTGTTATTCCCCTCATTTACCCTTCGTCTACTACTTACTGAGCACTAAGGAAAGTGCCTGGCATGGAGCCCGGCCCCAGGGACACAAGATGAGAGGCAGAGTGCCCCCGAGGAGCTCACAGGAGGGGACACGGACAGAAAACATGGCCTGTCCTCTGGTTTCAGGACCTCCAGTGTCCAGTCCACCTGTGGAAGGCCTGGGGGTGACTCTGCAATCTCTGTCAGACCACCACGGTCTGACATGGCTTGGAGCACACAGACGCCCCAGAGTAGGCACACCCATCAGGCTTGTTCAGTGCTTGGGGTTACAAATAAATATTTGCTGCAGATAAACAGAGGTGCCCTGCTCCTCCCAGCCAAGGGCTGCCTCAGAGGTGCTGCCTGCATCCTGGATGCCTGTCAAGGGCAAGGCTGAGCACACCCCTTCCCTGATTGGGGTAACACAAAACAGGCTGCTCTGCATGTTTCTTCAGCAAAAACTGTGCTGATCACGGAAGAAGAGTGGGCACAGGTGTGGGACCCCTGTACTGGCAGAGCCTGAGAACCTGGCTGTGGGCCCCTCGGGCTGGGGAGGGGCTGTGACTTTGGTCTGAAGCCCCACAGCACACTGTTTCGTGTCTGCCTTACTCACCAGTGAATCTTTAGCCCTAGAACATAGGAGATGCTCAATATGTATCTGTCTAATGCAGAAACTAGCATCTAGAGCATGCCATGTTTATTGGAAGTCTTCCTTGTCACCATCCGCCACACTGCCCATGTGTCTCTGCCGCAGAGTGTCACACAGCACCTCAAGCTCCACCTGCCCCAGCTCCCAGCCTTTTCTGATCCTTCCAGGCCTCTCTTCCTGAGAACCTCAGTTTTGCCTATAGTCCATGTGACATAATTGGGACTTAGTTATGTGTCATTTTACATGAGTGTGGACAATTTTATGCAGATAACGCTAGTCTCTGGAGCTCTTGAGGTTCTGATCACAGGTCTGTCTGCTCCGCTTTGGAGAGGCCGGTGCTGAGGCCAGTAAACCTGTTAAGGGTTTGGTTCATGTTGGAATTGGTTTTGTTTCAGTTTCTGCCTCTTATAACAATGTTCACTGACAGTTTACAGAGTTTTCCTGTGTTTCATCTTGTTCATAGTCTCCTAGGCATGGCAGATTTTGATTTCTCTTACTTTACAGAAAATATTAAGTTTAGGAAGGCCAAGTGATTTGGCCACGGTCACATGACTATTTCCGGGACACCCTGCTGCCACTCTTCTTCCACGACCAGAGTAGTTCCTGCTATGCATGGAACATGCCGAGTGGCCCATCTCCGTGCCACCCTGGCTCTTCTAACTCCAGAGTCTAACTCTTCCCCGGCCTACCACAGCAGCCTGAATCCCTAGCCATTCGCAGGAGGCATGGGGACACCATGGCCTAGCCTAGGGCCATGGGATAGGGCTTCACATTTCACAAGTCTGTTGTGTTGCACTTTATGACTTGGATTTCTCCCTGTCTGTCCTTGATTGTTTAGAGGGTGTTCTGAGATTCCCTACGCAGCAGGCCTGCAGCTCAGTGACGGCGAAACAGACTTGCTAGGAAAGGCAGAGACATCCAGAGAGCTTGTTTCACTTCTTCAGCAAGACATCAGCAGACTGGAAGAAATCCAGTAAGAACACAGGCCACTGAAGGGACAGAGAGCTTGATTTCTGAGGCAGAAGGAGATAAGGGGAGGGGCACTGTGTTAGGCTGACAAGAGGGCCAGAGGGAGCTGACTGTGAAGACTGGCCACGGAGCCCAGAGTCCTCACACTCAGGGTGGCAGGACGCGGGAGGCTTGCAAAGGAGTTTCCAAAAGGGACAGGATGGAACTAGGTTGATTAAATTATACCAAAGAAACTTTAGACCAAGTCCAAGATGAATCTCACAGAAGGATATACACAAGTGCAACAGGGACATTTGGAAGCTGTGTCTACCCACATCGTGCTGGGAGGCTTGGGGAACATTTTTGAGCCGCTCTCCTCTCCTTTCCTCCATCCCAGAGGGCCTGGCCTATTTATCCCGTCGGATCTGACTGGGCCAGGCTAAGGCTTGTCCAGAGTCGGACAAGGCAGCTTCTGGGTTAGGAGGCCTTAAAAAACGTGTCAGGATTAATCCAAAATCCTCAACCACATGAGAAATATTCTAAGATGGGCAAAAGTGCCCCAAGGAGGACTGTGAAAAGGCCAGGGGCAGGTGAAAAGGTGAAAGCGGCAGCAGGCCTGCTGAGTGTGCGCGAGGTGGCAGGGCTGCACTGAAGCCTCCGGAGGGGCCGTCCAGAGGAAGCTCCTGAAACAAGAGTGAGACACCAGGGGAACCTTATGGCGCAAGCCCCATGTGAGACACAGTGGAGCCTGCAAAGGAAGGATCCCACTGGATCAGAACAAAACGATGTCCTCAGCCACATGGACGGGAACTTCCACCCTCACTTGGAGAGCTGGAATGGGACATTCACATCTAAACACATGCCTTGTATTCTTTTTTTTTGAGACGGAGTCTGTCCCAGGCTGGAGTGCAGTGGCGTGATCTCAGCTCACTGCAACCTCCACTTCTCGGGCTCAAGCAATTCTCGTATATCAGCCACCTGAGTAGCTGGGATTACAGGTACCCGCCACCACGCCTGGCTAATTTTTGTATTTTTAGTAGAGATGGGGTTTCGCCATGTTGGCCAGGCTGGTTTTCAAACTCCTGAGCTCAGGCAATCTGCCCATCTCGGCCTCTCAAAGTGCTGCGATTACAGGTGTGAGTCACTGCGCCCGGCTATGCCTTTTATTCTTAATAGTTAGACACACACATGCTTAGGTCAACTGCACATCAACACATACAGTTCCTATTCCACATACGGGTTTAGTAATTCTCAACTCATTCTTTGGGTATCTTTGTCAAGGTCCAAGTAAAACTACTAGAAATTGGCCTAGTTGACTATTAGAATCAGTATTCTGAGACAGCAAAACAAAGGAAACAGCATCTGCATCCCAACAAACCTCTGTTTAGATTTTATTTTTTAATTGACAGATAAAAATTATATATAAAGATGATGTACAACATGATGTTTTAATATATGTACACATTGTGGAATGGCTAAATCAAGCTAGTTATATGCATGACCTCACATACTTTGTCTTTTTAAGGTGAGAACACTTAAAATGTACTCTCTTGGCAATTTTCAAGTATATATTGCTGGGAACTATAGTCCGCAGGCTGCAGAACAGATCTCTTGAACTTATACCTCTTGTCTTGACAAATCTTATTTCCTTTTTTTTTTGAGACAAAGTTTCGCTCTTGTTGCCCAGGCTGGAGTGCAGTGGCGCAATCTTGGCTCACTGCAACCTCTGCCTCCCAGGTTCAAGCGATTCTCCTGCCTTAGCCTCCCAAGTAGCTGGGATTACAAGCATGTGCCACCACACCCGGCTAATTTTTTGTATTTTTAGTAGAAACGGGGTTTCACCATGTTGGCCAGGCTGGTCTTGAACTCCTGACTTCAAGGGATCTGCCCGCCTTGGCCTCCCAAAGTACTGGGATCACAGGTGTGAGCCACCACACCCGGCTGACAAATCTTATTTCTATCTGAGAAACATACTCTGACTTCTCTGCAGGGGGCAGTCCTGCGATGGCTCTGAGAGCTGAAATCATGATCACTTTGCACCCTGTAGCTGGTGTGAGGCAGGATGTGCTGATTCTAAACTGCAGCTTCTCACTCTTCCCCAGAAGTGGAGGTGAAAGTGGGCAGGAGCCCCCGTGTCATACACAGGCCTGTGAGCTAAAGGGGTGAGAACTGCATGTGGTAGCTAACCCATGGGGGAAGACTCAGAACGGATGGTCCAGGTAAGCCTGCAGTCCTAGAGAACAGGTTAGGAAGGTTAGCAAGAGGGCAACTTCACAAGTCCTTTATGTAACAGAAAAACATAGTAGGTTAAGATACAGTGTCTATAGCCTTTCCCCTCTTCTGCCTTCTGCTAAACGCTGTCTACCAGCTCATCTTGTGGGCTGTGCAGACTTGGGGTAAAAGGTAAGTTGGGAGGTACCATGCTGTTTGGGTTTATATGTTACAAAGGTCAGAGTAGCCAACCTGGATGTACTTAGACAATGAGAGAAGAGGGGGAGAGATCAAAGAGCCAGCATGAGAGGCACACGCCTCTTCAGGATGTTTCTCACATGAGAAACATCCTGAAGGGCCTGCAGGGAGGAGGAGACTTCAGGGGCAGCGGCCATCTGTGCGAGATAGAGGGAGAGATGGAGATGGGGAAAGAGATTTTTTAAAGTTTTAAAAATATGTTATGAATGAAATTCCTCCCTTTGGAATTTTCCTCAAATATTCAATAAACATTTTAATTGCTTTCAAACTATGTTTTGGACATCAGATTTGAGTCTCTTTGAATGTGACACCTTGAAGAGATGGAGCCCACAGGGCAACATTTTTTTCTTTTGCGGGTTGTAATTATAAATGAGAATGACTTGTCCAAAGAAAGTAGGAATTCAGTTGGAATTATCAGTAACTCTCAGAGATAGAAAGATGCCAATTTGGGTAAAGTTGAGAAGAAATAGATTAGCATTGATGTACATCCCAAATCTTGAGAGTGTGCGTGTGTGTGTGTGTGTGCGCGTGCGCTATTGAATGTCTCTCTGGAGAAGGGGCGCATAGCTTTTGTCAGATATCAGAGAGTTCTGTGACTGCAGAAAAGTCAAGGGCAACAGAATAAGATGATGAATAGAAGGGAAGTAACAAAGGAAGGGGGTGGCTAAGGAGACAACAGTTGTAAAATAATAATAATAATAGAGAAAGACTCCTGTCATAGGATCTATAGGCAGAGAAAGGAAGAATAATTAAATTTAAATCAGTTATGAATGGCCAATGCAGGAAGTCACTTCCATAAAACCAAGCCAAACTTGGGGAGAGGGGTTAGAAAAAGACAAAAGGAGATGGCGATTTGGTGGGAAACATGAATGATAAACACTCTTCAGAATGTTCCTATTTGGTGGCCTCTCTGGAACCAGCTGCTGTTGAGCCTGATTTAGCCTGTGGTCAAGGCCATAGCACTAGCACTGTTGCTGGGACTGTGTCTTAGCCCATTTTCTGCTGCTATAACAGCATATAACAGATGACATCATTTATGTAGAACAGAAGCTTATTTGGCTCATGGTTCTGAAGATTGGGGAATCCAAGAGCATGGCACCAGCATCTGGTGGGGGTTATCTGATGGCAGAAGGTGAGTGAGCAAGGGAGTGTGGGAGACCAAGTGAAAATGCAGGCCAATTTATCCTTTTATCAGGAGCCCATTCTCACTATAACAATATGAATCCCTTTACAAAGGCAGAGCCCTTATAGCCTAATGGCCTCTTAAAGACCCTGCCTCTTAAAACTGATACAATGGCAATTAAAATTCCAACACATGAACTTTTGGGGGATACATTCAGGCCACAGCTGAGTGTAAACTGGCAGAGGTGATCTGAGGGCAATTTGATAGTATGTATCAGAATCAGAAAGATACCTCCACTTTGCCTCAGCCTCCTGAGTAGCTGGGATTACAGGCATGAGCTACCATGCCCAGCTGTTTCATAATGATGTTTCATAAGTTCCTTTTTGTCCTCTTTAGGAATCCTCTTTCGATTAATCCTTGCTTTTCAGTAATTCTAGTCACTCTGATGGTCCTCTCCCATCCCCCTTCTTACCACCTTGCCAAGAGTTTGTCACGTGCATACTTCTGGGGTTGCTGCTGGCAGGTGGTGGTGCTTAGAGTTCGGTGGCAAGTACGTAGGAAGAAGCCCAGGCCTTGGAGTTGGGAGGCCAAATCATGGCTCAGTGGGACTTTGGATAAGTCACTCAGCCTCTTCGAATTTCCATTTCCTTATCTTCATGCCCTTCCTCCCTTGCACTGTTACACTATTGCATAAATGCCTCCCCTTCAGCATTTCCTCATGACCCAGGGTTCACTCCCATGTAATATCTGTCTGAGTGCCTCAACAGATGTAAACTCCTCTTATGCAGGGACCCAGCTCCTTTATCTCTGTATCTCCTAGAGCATCTAGCAAAGTACTACAAACACAGTGGATACTCACATTTGTTAAACCAAAGCAAGACATTAAAAAGCACAACATAAGCCCTCACAAAAGCAGAGGATTACTGTCTTTTTAAAATTATTGTTGTTATAATGGTTTTTGGTTTGCCTAGTTTCATGTTATCAGAATTTCTCAAAGTGTGTCTATGCACTGTGTGCCACAGAAATGCCAGGATGCTAGTTTAAAATCCAGATTCCAGGGAATACCTGTGGGTGCATCCTGGTAATGTGCATTTTAAGTAGGGTGATTATTCCATTTATTGCCTAACTGGGACACTTGAGTGAATGGGGGTACTATTAATAGTTATGCTGGGACAACTGGCATAAACCAGGACAGTCACACTCATTTCAAGCATTTCTTTGGACACTCAAGTGTGAGAACTGCTCCCCAGTGCTCTAATCTTTTGGTGGTAAGAACCAGTTGTCTTCTCCCCTTTAACTCCTTAAACTATGCAGCAAAGACAGGCCCCTGAATTGATGGGCTAGGCAGGCAGCTACCGTGCTGCCATTAGGCTGAGCAGGAGCACAGGGTGGCCAGGAGTGTGAGTAAGGGCAGCCGCTTCCCTGTGCAGGTCCTGGCCTGCATTGTCCTCCCGCTACCTTGGAAGATGCTGGCTGTGGCCACTGTGAACGAAACTGTAAGGGACTGGTGCTCATGTCTTCTCCAGCTGTCCTTCAAGGGCCAGGCCCTCTTCACTCACAGATGAGACTTTAAGGGAACAGCAATAACACAAATAATGCCCTGTACTTAAGTGAGGGAGAATACCCGTAAGTGAGAGAGCCCCGGGCCGACAACAGCCACCCAGCATGTGGGGGCACTGTGCACCCGGGCCAAATGCCCACTGCATCGCTGAAGACAGCAACAGGGCCTCCAGATCCTGTGGCAGGGCTGTTGTTTCCTTTCAAGAGAACTTGCCTTCTGTTCATTTTGCTTTTCCTTTTAATTCACAATCATGGAAAAGCACCCAGTTCTATCAAAGCCAATTCTAAGACTTTTGAACCAAAGCGAGCTATGACATTCACCTGAAATGTGAGTTCTAGACCTATCTCACCAGGATCCCTTGAGCTTTAATAAGACACCCTCTAGAGATGGGGTTTCACTGTCCCCTAATAGCATTAAGCCAATGGTCCATGGAATCCCTGCGTGAGCATGTATGCTTTTCTCATTTCTGTGCTTCACGCTTTCACCACACACATACTTTTCCCATGAGACAAGCCCATATGTCACTAGGTAGATAGATGATGAACCTTCTGATTTGCAGTAAAACTCATAGACTCTTGGAATTTTGGAAAGTATAACCTGCTTTCAAATAAGATTTTAATTACGCTCTGGCTAAAGAACTGGTTGTGGTGACATGTGTGACATATGTAGACATACGAGTCCTGCCACTGGGATACCTAGAGAAGGGACCATGTCCAGAGAGGGCCTGGGGACACTCACAGCCACGCAGGTGAGCAATGGTTGAAGAAACTAGGGATGTTGAGCCTGCC